GACACCGCCGAAACAAGAAGGGCCAGACTTTACCAAAGACTTTGCTAAAATATAATGGAGGAGAGCCTTCTCTTCTTGGTAGAGAGTATAAAAAAGAATCAAACCAAATTAGTCATAAGAATTTAGTGAAGTATGCAAAATTACACACTGGTATCTTCCAGCAGAAGCCTTGATTTCTTAACACAGGAAAGCAAAAGCTTCCTAAGCTAGAACACTTGGACACACACTTCATATTCTGTTTATTTTAAGATGGAAAAACTCAAACGAAGTTTTTGGCCAAGCCAATACTTAATGAGTAATTGCTGGATGAGTGAATGGGTGGATGAAGTGAGCGTCTAAGAGAAATGCACAGCAGCCTGAACAGACAGCATGGGAGAGGAGAGGCGACTCGAGCACTGGAATCCTGCTGTTCCTCTCCCCAGCTGTGTGGTCTGAGACATGAATCTTCTCTGAGCTCCTGGTTCCTGCTCTATGAAGTGTGAATGCATTAGCTGAGCTCTCAGTCTTCACTGTGGGACATTATAAGAAACACAGAACTTGCGTTTACTACACCCCAGGAATGTCCTCTCACCCAATTTGCGTGAAGGTACTGCTCTCGGGCCTGTTCTGCTGCCCTAAGAAAACTGACTTTTCTCACGTAGATAGAATGAATTATGGAAGTGATAGCTCCTTTTTAGCATTTAACCTCTAGAGAACTTGGAACTAGATTTTCACAATGTGCAGTGTTGAAGTATTAAGGCTCTCCCTCGCCGCTGTCCTATTTCACCCATGCTTATTACTCCTTCTGCTTGATCACATTTTATTGGGTTTAGGGCTCAGGCTTGGGTCTGTCCTTGTAACTGGGCTCAAATTGGTTTGGAACAAGTGCATGGTATACGCATGTGCGCTCAGTCGTGTCCGACTCTTTGCAACCCCATGGACTGTAGCCCGCCAGGCTCCTCTGTCCCTGGGATTCCACAGGCAAGAATACTGGAGTGGGTTGTCATTTCCTTCTCCGGGGGAATATTCCTGACCCAGCGATCGAAGCCATGTCTCTTACATTTCCTGGCTTGATTTTTATAAAGGAAACTAACAATAACAACAAACCTCAAGGGAAGAAAGAAAAGAAGGGAGGGAGAGGGGGAGGGAGGAAGGAGGGAGGGAGACAGAGAAACAGACAAGCCCAAAAGGAAGAAAGAGAAGTGAAGGCAAGAAAGTCAGGTAGGTAACGGGTGCCGCCGGGCTCTGAAGTTATTGTGATGGCTGAGATTGCATTTCCTTACACAGTTAGGCTCTCAGCAGTTTCTGCCTTCTGTCCGAGAACCTAATGGGCCAATACCTTTGTAGATATAAGGTAAATAATAATACCATAGGTGCTTTTGGTAATAAAAGTTTGAAATAATATCAATATATATAATTCCACAATTTATATATATATATATATAGAAAATGGAAATAAGAATAACCATATGTAACTTAAATTATATATTAAATAATAACAATATAAATTGAAATAGTAACCATATATAGAATCCCACAATTTAAAGGAATCAAAATAATAACAATATATATAATTCCACAGTTTTAAAATCATGCTCTTTGGAGTTCCCACCAGTGTGTAAGGTGGCAAGAAGATGGGATAGTGGAGGGAGGGGGGGCATTTGGGTTTTTTTCAACTGAAGTCTTTCAGAGTTTTTTTTTTTAAATAGGATTTACAATATTATATTTTAATATAATAATTATTTTATGTTTAATTTTATATTTATATTTTAGTAATATTTATTTTATACAATAATTTACAATATTATATTTCAGGTCAGGCATACAGCACAGTGATTCCTTTATACATATATAAATGTCTGTTCTTTTTCAGATTCTTTTGCATTTTAGGTTGTTACAAGGTATCAAATACAGTTCCCCGTGCTATTCAGTAAATCCTTGTTGTGTACGTATTTTATACATAGTACTGTGTATCTGTTAATCCCATACTCTTAATTTATCCCTCCCCAGAGTTATTTTTGTTATTGTTGTTTACATGTAAGGATTCTATTGACAGAGGGTTGCTTAGGAAAATGAAAGTTTGAAACTACTAATACATGTGATAAATGTATGTGGCAGTATAGAGAGATGGTGAATAAGGGATGTGTATTTGCAAAATTTAGCGTAGTGCATTTTTTTTGGCCAACAAGTTTGTGTTAAAACTGTTCACTGTCTTGTGTGGCTCACAACGTTGTCACTGAGAAAAAAGTACAGCGGAAATGAAGTGCAAACATAAAAAAGGAAATCCATTTAAAACAACATTCTGTCACAAATTTTAAATCTTTTTTAAAATCAGTAACTTCACTAAAATGCCCCAAATGTAAATAGAAACACTTCTTCCACACTCTCACCCCGCTTATTGCTTCCCCATTGGGAAATTCCATAAGCTTAACGGAACTCCTATTTGAAACATGGGCCTGTGAATTAGCTAGTGTGTTAGCCCCTTAGTCGTTTCGACTCTTTGCTACCCCATGGAGCCTGCCAGGCTCCTCTGTCCATGGAATTCTCCAGGCAAGAAGACTGGAGTGGGTTAGCTACACAAGCGTGTAATCCATTTTCTGTTGCATTCTCTTTCTACCCACTAGAGGGCAGCAATCATACCCAGGGAAAGGGAAATTACTCCAGTACTAGGATAGTTTCTTAGCCAACACTAGTCTTTCTGAGAACACCTAAAAAGTCCCCCAAATTCCCATTAGACTTATTAGACGATCAGATTCCCTTCCTCTTTTCTAAAATACTCAGAGAACTTTGATAACTGACTTTGAAGTTATCTGTTGACTTGGCCAAACATACTCATTTGAAATATGAACATGAACATATCTCTAAAAATGACATTTATGTGAAAATTGTGTTTTTGTCATGTATTTCTGTGTTTCAAACTACTCCAAAATGTTGGGATTTAAAACCCATCTCTCAGTTCTCTTGGTATCAGAATTCTGGGCAATTCTGCTTCCTGTGATGTTGTCTGGGACTGGGTTTATCCAGGGGCTCAAATGGGCTGGAATGTCCAAACTGGCCTGCTCTGCTGGTTGGCAGTTGATGCTGGTTGCTGCCTGGGAGCTCAGCAGGGACCATTAACCAGAGCATCCAATTATCATACTTCCTGTGGCTTAGATATCTCAGAGCATGGCAGCTGGTTTCCAAGAGAGACCATCCCAAGGATGAGCATCCCAGAAGGAGCGAGCATTCCCAAAGGCAGGAAGCAGAAGTTTCCAGCCCAGACATGGCTTCTCTAGCCCTCTAAATACTAACAGCAGTCACAGAGTCAGCCTAGATTCAAGGAGAGGAAATAAGCTCCATCTCCTGACGTGAGGAGCAGCCTGATCACAGGGAGGAGAGAAATAGTGTGGACCATCTTTCAGTTCGATTCAGTCCAGTCGCTCAGTCGTGTCCGACTCTTTGCGACCCCATGAACTGCAGGCCTCCCGGTCCATCACCAACTTCCGGAATTTACTCAAACTCATGTCCATTGAGTTGGTGATGCCATCCAACCATCTCATCCTCTGTTGCCCCCTTCTCCTCCTGCCTTCAATCTTTCCCAGCATCAGGGTCTTTTCCAAGGAGTTCAGTTCTTCGCATCAGGTGGCCAAAGTATTGGAGTTTCAGCTTCAGCATCAGTCCTTCCAATGAATATTCAGGACTGATTTCCTT